GGCGGGTCATATATGGTTGGTCATTTTATAGTTTAAATATTAAAATATGCTTTTATAATTAAGTTTTGCGCAAAAATTCATCAGCAAAATTAATAAAACTTTCAATTAATGATGGTTTTAATTCAATTTAAGAATTAAAATTAAATTTAAATTCAAATTTAAATTTTGAATTTTTTAAAAATCTTAAAATTTGTGATAGTTTTCCTACATTTAACATGAAAATTGGTTCTAAATTATCAATTTTAATTTTTATTAAGTCTCAAAACTGCTAAAAATAGCAATATTTTGAAGTTAATTCATTATGTTTTATGCATTGCACTGGGGCGGGTCATATATGGTTGGTCATTTTATAGTTTAAATATTAAAATATGCTTTTATAATTAAGTTTTGCGCAAAAATTCATCAGCAAAATTAATAAAACTTTCAATTAATGATGGTTTTAATTCAATTTAAGAATTAAAATTAAATTTAAATTCAAATTTAAATTTTGAATTTTTTAAAAATCTTAAAATTTGTGATAGTTTTCCTACATTTAACATGAAAATTGGTTCTAAATTATCAATTTTAATTTTTATTAAGTCTCAAAACTGCTAAAAATAGCAATATTTTGAAGTTAATTCATTATGTTATATGCATTGCACTGGGGCGGGTCATATATGGTTGGTCATTTTATAGTTTAAATATTAAAATATGCTTTTATAATTAAGTTTTGCGCAAAAATTCATCAGCAAAATTAATAAAACTTTCAATTAATGATGGTTTTAATTCAATTTAAGAATTAAAATTAAATTTAAATTCAAATTTAAATTTTGAATTTTTAAAAATCTTAAAATTTGTGATAGTTTTCCTACATTTAACATGAAAATTGGTTCTAAATTATCAATTTTAATTTTAATTAAGTCTCAAAACTGCTAAAAATAGCAATATTTTGAAGTTAATTCATTATGTTTTATGCATTGCACTGGGGCGGGTCATATATGGTTGGTCATTTTATAGTTTAAATATTAAAATATGCTTTTATAATTAAGTTTTGCGCAAAAATTCATCAGCAAAATTAATAAAACTTTCAATTAATGATGGTTTTAATTCAATTTAAGAATTAAAATTAAATTTAAATTCAAATTTAAATTTTGAATTTTTTAAAAATCTTAAAATTTGTGATAGTTTTCCTACATTTAACATGAAAATTGGTTCTAAATTATCAATTTTAATTTTAATTAAGTCTCAAAACTGCTAAAAATAGCAATATTTTGAAGTTAATTCATTATGTTTTATGCATTGCACTGGGGCGGGTCATATATGGTTGGTCATTTTATAGTTTAAATATTAAAATATGCTTTTATAATTAAGTTTTGCGCAAAAATTCATCAGCAAAATTAATAAAACTTTCAATTAATGATGGTTTTAATTCAATTTAAGAATTAAAATTAAATTTAAATTCAAATTTAAATTTTGAATTTTTTAAAAATCTTAAAATTTGTGATAGTTTTCTTACATTTAACATGAAAATTGGTTCTAAATTATCAATTTTAATTTTAATTAAGTCTCAAAACTGCTAAAAATAGCAATATTTTGAAGTTAATTCATTATGTTATATGCATTGCACTGGGGCATGTCATATATGGTTGGTCATTTTATAGTTTAAATATTAAAATATGCTTTTATAATTAAGTTTTGCGCAAAAATTCATCAGCAAAATTAATAAAACTTTCAATTAATGATGGTTTTAATTCAATTTAAGAATTAAAATTAAATTTAAATTCAAATTTAAATTTTGAATTTTTTAAAAATCTTAAAATTTGTGATAGTTTTCCTACATTTAACATGAAAATTGGTTCTAAATTATCAATTTTAATTTTAATTAAGTCTCAAAACTGCTAAAAATAGCAATATTTTGAAGTTAATTCATTATGTTTTATGCATTGCACTGGGGCGGGTCATATATGGTTGGTCATTTTATAGTTTAAATATTAAAATATGCTTTTATAATTAAGTTTTGCGCAAAAATTCATCAGCAAAATTAATAAAACTTTCAATTAATGATGGTTTTAATTCAATTTAAGAATTAAAATTAAATTTAAATTCAAATTTAAATTTTGAATTTTTTAAAAATCTTAAAATTTGTGATAGTTTTCTTACATTTAACATGAAAATTGGTTCTAAATTATCAATTTTAATTTTAATTAAGTGTCAAAACTGCTAAAAATAGCAATATTTTGAAGTTAATTCATTATGTTATATGCATTGCACTGGGGCATGTCATATATGGTTGGTCATTTTATAGTTTAAATATTAAAATATGCTTTTATAATTAAGTTTTGCGCAAAAATTCATCAGCAAAATTAATAAAACTTTCAATTAATGATGGTTTTAATTCAATTTAAGAATTAAAATTAAATTTAAATTCAAATTTAAATTTTGAATTTTTTAAAAATCTTAAAATTTGTGATAGTTTTCCTACATTTAACATGAAAATTGGTTCTAAATTATCAATTTTAATTTTAATTAAGTGTCAAAACTGCTAAAAATAGCAATATTTTGAAGTTAATTCATTATGTTATATGCATTGCACTGGGGCGGGTCATATATGGTTGGTCATTTTATAGTTTAAATATTAAAATATGCTTTTATAATTAAGTTTTGCGCAAAAATTCATCAGCAAAATTAATAAAACTTTCAATTAATGATGGTTTTAATTCAATTTAAGAATTAAAATTAAATTTAAATTCAAATTTAAATTTTGAATTTTTTAAAAATCTTAAAATTTGTGATAGTTTTCTTACATTTAACATGAAAATTGGTTCTAAATTATCAATTTTAATTTTAATTAAGTGTCAAAACTGCTAAAAATAGCAATATTTTGAAGTTAATTCATTATGTTTTATGCATTGCACTGGGGCGGGTCATATATGGTTGGTCATTTTATAGTTTAAATATTAAAATATGCTTTTATAATTAAGTTTTGCGCAAAAATTCATCAGCAAAATTAATAAAACTTTCAATTAATGATGGTTTTAATTCAATTTAAGAATTAAAATTAAATTTAAATTCAAATTTAAATTTTGAATTTTTTAAAAATCTTAAAATTTGTGATAGTTTTCCTACATTTAACATGAAAATTGGTTCTAAATTATCAATTTTAATTTTTATTAAGTCTCAAAACTGCTAAAAATAGCAATATTTTGAAGTTAATTCATTATGTTATATGCATTGCACTGGGGCGGGTCATATATGGTTGGTCATTTTATAGTTTAAATATTAAAATATGCTTTTATAATTAAGTTTTGCGCAAAAATTCATCAGCAAAATTAATAAAACTTTCAATTAATGATGGTTTTAATTCAATTTAAGAATTAAAATTAAATTTAAATTCAAATTTAAATTTTGAATTTTTTAAAAATCTTAAAATTTGTGATAGTTTTCTTACATTTAACATGAAAATTGGTTCTAAATTATCAATTTTAATTTTAATTAAGTGTCAAAACTGCTAAAAATAGCAATATTTTGAAGTTAATTCATTATGTTTATGCATTGCACTGGGGCGGGTCATATATGGTTGGTCATTTTATAGTTTAAATATTAAAATATGCTTTTATAATTAAGTTTTGCGCAAAAATTCATCAGCAAAATTAATAAAACTTTCAATTAATGATGGTTTTAATTCAATTTAAGAATTAAAATTAAATTTAAATTCAAATTTAAATTTTGAATTTTTAAAAATCTTAAAATTTGTGATAGTTTTCCTACATTTAACATGAAAATTGGTTCTAAATTATCAATTTTAATTTTAATTAAGTGTCAAAACTGCTAAAAATAGCAATATTTTGAAGTTAATTCATTATGTTTATGCATTGCACTGGGGCATGTCATATATGGTTGGTCATTTTATAGTTTAAATATTAAAATATGCTTTTATAATTAAGTTTTGCGCAAAAATTCATCAGCAAAATTAATAAAACTTTCAATTAATGATGGTTTTAATTCAATTTAAGAATTAAAATTAAATTTAAATTCAAATTTAAATTTTGAATTTTTTAAAAATCTTAAAATTTGTGATAGTTTTCCTACATTTAACATGAAAATTGGTTCTAAATTATCAATTTTAATTTTAATTAAGTGTCAAAACTGCTAAAAATAGCAATATTTTGAAGTTAATTCATTATGTTTTATGCATTGCACTGGGGCGGGTCATATATGGTTGGTCATTTTATAGTTTAAATATTAAAATATGCTTTTATAATTAAGTTTTGCGCAAAAATTCATCAGCAAAATTAATAAAACTTTCAATTAATGATGGTTTTAATTCAATTTAAGAATTAAAATTAAATTTAAATTCAAATTTAAATTTTGAATTTTTTAAAAATCTTAAAATTTGTGATAGTTTTCTTACATTTAACATGAAAATTGGTTCTAAATTATCAATTTTAATTTTAATTAAGTGTCAAAACTGCTAAAAATAGCAATATTTTGAAGTTAATTCATTATGTTATATGCATTGCACTGGGGCATGTCATATATGGTTGGTCATTTTATAGTTTAAATATTAAAATATGCTTTTATAATTAAGTTTTGCGCAAAAATTCATCAGCAAAATTAATAAAACTTTCAATTAATGATGGTTTTAATTCAATTTAAGAATTAAAATTAAATTTAAATTCAAATTTAAATTTTGAATTTTTTAAAAATCTTAAAATTTGTGATAGTTTTCTTACATTTAACATGAAAATTGGTTCTAAATTATCAATTTTAATTTTAATTAAGTGTCAAAACTGCTAAAAATAGCAATATTTTGAAGTTAATTCATTATGTTATATGCATTGCACTGGGGCGGGTCATATATGGTTGGTCATTTTATAGTTTAAATATTAAAATATGCTTTTATAATTATGTTTTGCGCATCATCAGCAAAATTAATAAAACTTTCAATCTGTTGGTTAATTCATTAATAAAATCCGTATTACTGTTTAATATGGCTGAAAACGATTGAGGTTGTCAGTTGGTGCATAGCTCAGCCGGTAGAGCAGCTGGCGTTTAATCAGAAGGTTGAGAGATCGATTCTCGCCAGGACAACACTACTAAATTGTAAGGAATAATTATTGTGTGGAAGAGGAGATATTAGTTCAATTGATTGAGAGGGGAACTCCATCACTAAAGAAAAAGAATTATTGGTCCCCCTAGTGATCGGAAAAAAATTGCTGATGAAGTAGGAATGAGGGGGATGAGCGCAGGATTTTCTACTGGTCTTAATTATATGCCCTCTTCAAAAGGGAAACCCAACCAACGACATACTTTAGTGGAAGTGAGTGGGGAGAGAATGTGAGTACTTTGCATGATGAATATGCAAAAAAGACTACTGTTTATCATTCATTGAGTAACATTAATTATCTGTTTTTCTGATTAAGAATTTGATCATAAAAAATATCTAAATTCCAGTGTTACGTATAGACAAGCAGGATTTCAAAACAAATCTCTTCTTAATCTAAGTGAAATCAAGCGTTCATGTAGATTCTAATGAGCAGTTTAGTTGTAGTTTATACGACTTTTTCAAATGTGAAAAAGTGTTTCTGAAGAATTGTTGAACAAGAAATTAAGTACATGTGCAAATATATTTTCTAAAATGAATTCTATTTGTGAAAAAGCGAAACTACGAGTAGTTGTGAAGTAATAGCAGTTATGAACCAAACTTTAATTTACAAAATTCAATTCTAATTAAGTGCCAAAAAAAAATAAATATTCAAAACTTCATTGATTATTTCATATGCATTGCACCGGGGTGGGTCATATATGGTCGGTCATTTTATAGTTTAAATATTAAAATATGCTTTTATAATTAAGTTTTGCGCAAAAATTCATCAGCAAAATTAATAAAACTTTCAATTAATAATGGTTTTAATTCAATTTAAGAATTAAAATTAAATTTAAATTCAAATTTAAATTTTGAATTTTCTAAAAATCTTAAAATTTGTGATAGTTTTCTTGCATTTAACATGAAAATTGGTTCTAAATTATCAATTTTAATTTTAATTAAGTGTCAAAACTGCTAAAAATAGCAATATTTTGAAGTTAATTCATTATGTTATATGCATTGCACTGGGGCGGGTCATATATGGTTGGTCATTTTATAGTTTAAATATTAAAATATGCTTTTATAATTAAGTTTTGCGCAAAAATTCATCAGCAAAATTAATAAAACTTTCAATTAATGATGGTTTTAATTCAATTTAAGAATTAAAATTAAATTTAAATTCAAATTTAAATTTTGAATTTTTTAAAAATCTTAAAATTTGTGATAGTTTTCTTACATTTAACATGAAAATTGGTTCTAAATTATCAATTTTAATTTTAATTAAGTGTCAAAACTGCTAAAAATAGCAATATTTTGAAGTTAATTCATTATGTTTTATGCATTGCACTGGGGCATGTCATATATGGTTGGTCATTTTATAGTTTAAATATTAAAATATGCTTTTATAATTAAGTTTTGCGCAAAAATTCATCAGCAAAATTAATAAAACTTTCAATTAATGATGGTTTTAATTCAATTTAAGAATTAAAATTAAATTTAAATTCAAATTTAAATTTTGAATTTTTTAAAAATCTTAAAATTTGTGATAGTTTTCCTACATTTAACATGAAAATTGGTTCTAAATTATCAATTTTAATTTTAATTAAGTGTCAAAACTGCTAAAAATAGCAATATTTTGAAGTTAATTCATTATGTTATATGCATTGCACTGGGGGTCATATATGGTTGGTCATTTTATAGTTTAAATATTAAAATATGCTTTTATAATTAAGTTTTGCGCAAAAATTCATCAGCAAAATTAATAAAACTTTCAATTAATGATGGTTTTAATTCAATTTAAGAATTAAAATTAAATTTAAATTCAAATTTAAATTTTGAATTTTTAAAAATCTTAAAATTTGTGATAGTTTTCCTACATTTAACATGAAAATTGGTTCTAAATTATCAATTTTAATTTTAATTAAGTGTCAAAACTGCTAAAAATAGCAATATTTTGAAGTTAATTCATTATGTTATATGCATTGCACTGGGGCATGTCATATATGGTTGGTCATTTTATAGTTTAAATATTAAAATATGCTTTTATAATTAAGTTTTGCGCAAAAATTCATCAGCAAAATTAATAAAACTTTCAATTAATGATGGTTTTAATTCAATTTAAGAATTAAAATTAAATTTAAATTCAAATTTAAATTTTGAATTTTTTAAAAATCTTAAAATTTGTGATAGTTTTCCTACATTTAACATGAAAATTGGTTCTAAATTATCAATTTTAATTTTAATTAAGTGTCAAAACTGCTAAAAATAGCAATATTTTGAAGTTAATTCATTATGTTATATGCATTGCACTGGGGCATGTCATATATGGTTGGTCATTTTATAGTTTAAATATTAAAATATGCTTTTATAATTAAGTTTTGCGCAAAAATTCATCAGCAAAATTAATAAAACTTTCAATTAATGATGGTTTTAATTCAATTTAAGAATTAAAATTAAATTTAAATTCAAATTTAAATTTTGAATTTTTTAAAAATCTTAAAATTTGTGATAGTTTTCCTACATTTAACATGAAAATTGGTTCTAAATTATCAATTTTAATTTTAATTAAGTCTCAAAACTGCTAAAAATAGCAATATTTTGAAGTTAATTCATTATGTTTTATGCATTGCACTGGGGCGGGTCATATATGGTTGGTCATTTTATAGTTTAAATATTAAAATATGCTTTTATAATTAAGTTTTGCGCAAAAATTCATCAGCAAAATTAATAAAACTTTCAATTAATGATGGTTTTAATTCAATTTAAGAATTAAAATTAAATTTAAATTCAAATTTAAATTTTGAATTTTTTAAAAATCTTAAAATTTGTGATAGTTTTCTTACATTTAACATGAAAATTGGTTCTAAATTATCAATTTTAATTTTAATTAAGTGTCAAAACTGCTAAAAATAGCAATATTTTGAAGTTAATTCATTATGTTATATGCATTGCACTGGGGCATGTCATATATGGTTGGTCATTTTATAGTTTAAATATTAAAATATGCTTTTATAATTAAGTTTTGCGCAAAAATTCATCAGCAAAATTAATAAAACTTTCAATTAATGATGGTTTTAATTCAATTTAAGAATTAAAATTAAATTTAAATTCAAATTTAAATTTTGAATTTTTTAAAAATCTTAAAATTTGTGATAGTTTTCCTACATTTAACATGAAAATTGGTTCTAAATTATCAATTTTAATTTTAATTAAGTCTCAAAACTGCTAAAAATAGCAATATTTTGAAGTTAATTCATTATGTTATATGCATTGCACTGGGGCATGTCATATATGGTTGGTCATTTTATAGTTTAAATATTAAAATATGCTTTTATAATTAAGTTTTGCGCAAAAATTCATCAGCAAAATTAATAAAACTTTCAATTAATGATGGTTTTAATTCAATTTAAGAATTAAAATTAAATTTAAATTCAAATTTAAATTTTGAATTTTTTAAAAATCTTAAAATTTGTGATAGTTTTCCTACATTTAACATGAAAATTGGTTCTAAATTATCAATTTTAATTTTAATTAAGTGTCAAAACTGCTAAAAATAGCAATATTTTGAAGTTAATTCATTATGTTTTATGCATTGCACTGGGGCGGGTCATATATGGTTGGTCATTTTATAGTTTAAATATTAAAATATGCTTTTATAATTAAGTTTTGCGCAAAAATTCATCAGCAAAATTAATAAAACTTTCAATTAATGATGGTTTTAATTCAATTTAAGAATTAAAATTAAATTTAAATTCAAATTTAAATTTTGAATTTTTTAAAAATCTTAAAATTTGTGATAGTTTTCCTACATTTAACATGAAAATTGGTTCTAAATTATCAATTTTAATTTTTATTAAGTCTCAAAACTGCTAAAAATAGCAATATTTTGAAGTTAATTCATTATGTTATATGCATTGCACTGGGGCATGTCATATATGGTTGGTCATTTTATAGTTTAAATATTAAAATATGCTTTTATAATTAAGTTTTGCGCAAAAATTCATCAGCAAAATTAATAAAACTTTCAATTAATAATGGTTTTAATTCAATTTAAGAATTAAAATTAAATTTAAATTCAAATTTAAATTTTGAATTTTTTAAAAATCTTAAAATTTGTGATAGTTTTCTTACATTTAACATGAAAATTGGTTCTAAATTATCAATTTTAATTTTAATTAAGTGTCAAAACTGCTAAAAATAGCAATATTTTGAAGTTAATTCATTATGTTATATGCATTGCACTGGGGCATGTCATATATGGTTGGTCATTTTATAGTTTAAATATTAAAATATGCTTTTATAATTAAGTTTTGCGCATCATCAGCAAAATTAATAAAACTTTCAATCTGTTGGTTAATTCATTAATAAAATCCGTATTAATGTTTAATATGGCTGAAAACGATTGAGGTTGTCAGTTGGTGCATAGCTCAGCCGGTAGAGCAGCTGGCGTTTAATCAGAAGGTTGAGAGATCGATTCTCGCCAGGACAACACTACTAAATTGTAAGGAATAATTATTGTGTGGAAGAGGAGATATTAGTTCAATTGATTGAGAGGGGGAACTCCATCACTAAAGAAAACAATTATTGGTCCCCCTAGTGATCGGAAAAAATTGCTGATGAAGTAGGAATGAGGGGGATGAGCGCAGGATTTCTACTGGTCTTAATTATATGCCCTCTTCAAAAGGGAAACCCAACCAATGACATACTTTAGTGGAAGTGAGTGGGAAGAGAATGTGAGTACTTTGCATGATGAATATGCAAAAAGACTACTGTTTATCATTCATTGAGTAACATTAATTATCTTTTTTCTGATTAAGAATTTGATCATAAAATATCTAAATTCCAGTGTTACGTATAGACAAGCAGGATTTCAAAACAAATCTCTTCTTAATCTTGAAATATAGTAACCAAGCGTTCATGTAGATTCTAATGAGCAGTTTAGTTGTAGTTTATACGACTTTTTCAAATGTGAAAAAGTGTTTCTGAAGAATTGTTGAACAAGAAA